GGGGGGACGTTGGGAGTGATGGCGTTTGTCTTCCCAAGTCACCGTTATGGGTGATGAAGCCCTGCTGTCCTGGAGATGGCTGAACACCGGCCTGTCCGTGGGCAGTGGGGAAGGAATTCCTTCTTTTGCTTTGCTTGTGTGCACAGCTTTTGCTTTACCTGTTGAACGGTCTTTATCTCAACCCGCGAATTCTCTCCCTTTTACCCTTCCGATTCTCTCCCCATCCCACCGGTGGGGAGTGAGCGAGTGGCTGGGTGGGGCTGAGCTGCCGACTGGTGTTAAACCACAACAACCTAATGTAACACTTTTTTTATTCTTATTTTTTAACATGTGATGTTAAATGATCCCCTGTGAGGAATTCTGTCTTCTGTTCTTGTAGTCATGTCCTCTTTAGGTTCATTTTAATCCGGTTTGCCATGCTGCATTAATTTTCTAAGCTTTTTGTCTTTAAGAGGAAAGCCAAGATTTTGTCTTTTGTCATCTGTCTCTTGAAACCTTCTGCAGAGATGGTAGTTTTTCTTTGTTTCTCTGCTAACAGATAACTGATAACCAGGCTTTGTCTACCTGAGGTGGGACCCCAGACATTTAGATTTGATTTTTTTGTGTCTGTCTTCCCTGATGTAATTTAGACTGTGTCGGTATTTTCTTCTTTGAGCTGACCAGTATGATTCATTTTCAGTGAATTAGAATAAAAAATTACTTTTGTATTTTCACATTCATGTGTGATGCCTGTAGCTTTAACTGCTGCTTCCTTCTACCAATCGAGTTTTCTGGAAGAAACGTTTTCCCTCTCTGCTAGTACATCGTGGAGACGAGGTGACTAGGTGTATGTTGAGAACTGAGGGGTTTCCACACAGAAGAACAGAGACATGCACTACAGTTCCCAGTAAAGAGCAGTAAGAAGACGTAGTGTTGAAATTCAGTTCATAAAATTGAAATTAAGTACTCAATTTAAGTGATCAGATGTTTCGTATAGATCGGATGTGGAAATATTTCATTTCAGTGTTTCTACAGTGACCCTTTCTCATTTCCATGTTTTATGTTCTCATCCTTTTGAGATAAAAGCAAAAGCAGATTAAAGCTCTTTAGTAATAATTTCCTAGGTGAGAATTTACTTGTACATCAATTAATTTTGTGGGTTTTTTTCCTTTTTATGGGCTAATTGGTTGAAATTAGCTGTAAATGAGCTTATTTTGAGTTCACAGAAAAATGTGAAAACATAGCTAGTCTTTTAAGTATTTAGAAGATAAAGTAGTAAGTAACAAGGTTGGTCAAGGTCAGATCATCTCAAATTCATCTGATTTATTTCTGTAGTAACGGGGAAGCAGCAAGTGGTGTTTTTAGCTTGAGATAGACTGTCAATGTCACTCTAGATGAAGGATAATAAAAGCATTGAAGTATGTCTGGAATGGGTCTTTGCAGTTTCG